TGAACCCGTGGCCTTGGTGTTATCAGCACCGCACTCTACCAAGTGAGCCACGGGCTGGCCTCCGGTCATCTTTTTTAAAAAAAAAAAAAAAAGAAAGAAAAAATGCATAGCTAGAACCTGTGATTTCATAGACAGAATTGCTCAGGACATGTGTAAGTTTAAAAAAAATTGATTTCAAGTTGATTTTCTTTTTATTAAGTAATGGTATAGGCAGAAACAAATTCTTGATTCTCCCTGCCCCCAAGGTGCTCTTCATCCAGGGACCTGAACTCAGTAAATGGCACCTCTGTTGTTCAAACCAAAGCCCTAGAGTCCTCCCTGACTCTTCCTCCTCTGTCATGTACCCACATCTAATGCATCAGCAAATCATATCAGGTCTTCCTCCCAAATACGGCCAGAATTTGATACTACTATTTAGGGATCTTTCTCCAATCATAAATCAGATCACATCACGCCCCTACTCAAAACCACCTAGACACTTCATATCACACTTCGAACGGAATCCAAAGTCAATGCCAGGGCCCACAAAGCACTGGACCTTGGCTACTACCACTCTCCCAAGGCACTCCACTCATGCCACACCAGCCACCTTAAGGCTCCTGAAATAAGCAGGGCTTTGCACCCCCCGCTCCTGTCCCCACATCCCCTACTTCATCTCATCAAATATGGAGAGGATCCCCCACCACCACCCTAAGATGGCTCCTCCACCACTGAGAATCCAGACTATTCCTCACAGCATCACCTAATGTTGTAATACAGATGTTATTAAATCATACATAATTTGTATTTGTTCATAGTATACTGTCTGTCTCCCTTACTAGAAAACAAGCTTCATGAGAACAATGTCCCCTGCATAGTGCCTGCCACATAGTGAGCACTCAGTGACATTTGAGGGAATGAATGTAGATGTTCACTCAAGGCTGAACTGAAGGTGGAAGTTCATGGCTGGAGTGTGACGTGTGACTTCATTTAATACTGATACTCCCAGGAGTCTTCTCAGAAATTCAGATGGGGAAACTGAGGCTCAGGGATGTTAA